TAGAATTAAGTATATTTTCCTTGAGTTTTAATTAGGTAGGAAATTATTTACTTCTGTAAGATTTTTGTATGTGTTGCATGCATTAATATTGTATATATATTTCATATTTATATGTTCATTTAATGTATATTTATTAGTAGTAAATATAGTTTCAAAGTCTCGCGCAGCCTTGTCTTTTATTCTCAAACAACTTCAAGTTCACACACCCAGAGCAATAACCCTTGTTAATTCAAATAGTACCAAAAACGATATGATATGTGATTGCTGAGTGACCCAGAAAGCAAATGTAACTCTGATTGCTGTGCTGAATGAGCCGATAATTAACAGACAATAATTATGGCAAGTGCAAAAGGCACAACTAAGCGGGTCACAATTGACTCTGTTTGCTGTTTGCACTGGCCAAACTGAATGGCAATGAGACGGATTTTGATGTCGATGTCCATTTCGTAGATCAATGGGCCAATGGGCCCTCGCCAGTGCCAGCGGGCACTTAACGTGCTGGACGGTGTGCGAAAATAAATGTTAAATCCAATTAATGGCATATAGTAATTGTGAGGCGTAAACACGCCCCCGCCACGAGCCGCGCAGAAAGCGGCTTAGCGGCCAAGCGAAGGCCACCACGACCCGACGAAATGACGTCGCAAAAACCGGCTTCCAGCTTCAGCTTCGACTCCCAGCTCCACCTCTAGCTCCAATTGTTTTCAACTGCTCTGATATAATTCATTGAACAATTGTGCGTTTATGGCTTGTTTCACTTCACTTTGCTTAGCCCCAAAGCCAAAGACTTGCGGCCCAGCCTCGAAACGGAAGCTTTGCCAAGGTTTAACACAAATATGATTTTTTTTTTTTCAATATGTTTTATTATCAATATTAACGAATTAATCAACATTAACAAGAAGTTTCAACAATTCGTGGCGCCAGCTCGTGTCTAGAAGCCCCAGTGGGTGCCGAAGCCATCGAAGCTCATGTGGGAGACGCTCTCGGCGGGCGAGTAGCGCACCGTCTGGGAGCTGCCGTAGCTGGAGACGCCCAGGGCGGGTGCATTGTGGGTGTAGGTGGTGGCACTTGGTCCATGGTTCACGTTGGTGGTGGCCAGTGGTGCGGCATAGGCGACAGCTGGGGCGGCATAGCTCTTGGCGATCACGGGTGCCGAGTAGACAGTCTTGGACAGCACAGGAGCAGGAGCAGCGTAGGAGACGGTCTTGGCCAGAACTGGAGCAGGAGCAGCATACGAGACGGTCTTGGCCAGAACGGGAGCCGGAGCAGAGTAGGTGACAGCTGGAGCACCATAGGAAACAGTCTTGGCCACAACCGGAGCAGGTGCCGAGTAGGTGAAGGATGGGGCGCCATAGGACACGGTCTTGGCCAGCACTGGAGCTTGAGCAGCGTAGACAGTCTTCTGCACGAGAGGCGTGGCCTGAGTGTACAGAGGAGCCGCATAGGTGGTCTTTGCAATGGCCGGGGTGTACACATTGTTCTGGACACGAGTGTCTGTCTTGCGCACGCTGGAGTAGGGCGTGTCAACGGCCTTGGAGTAGCTGGAGACGGTGCCGCCGAAGGAGCGCACCACATTTTGCTGCGTGGAGGCAACGGCATCCACGGCAGGATTAGCCACGGCCACATGGCTGGCCAAGAGGCCGGCATTGGCATAGGCCACCAGGGCGCAGAGGGAGATGACGTAACGGAAGGCCATTGTGCGGAATGGAACGAATAACTGTTGCTAGCTGACGGCTGACTGGGCTGCGACTGATGCTGATTTGGCCAAAATGTTGCGGCTTTTATACGCGGCTGACGCGTGCCAAAACGACGAATGTTTGGTAATTGAGCCGGCCCACAATGAGAGATGCGAAATTGTTGTATTGCTGAGCCGGATTGTCTGTCTGACTGTCTCAATGTCTCTCTGTCTGTCCGTTGAGTATTTGGCAATTATTTGAAAGCCAATTTGTGACCATAAATTAAACGTCGTAATTACGTTTGCTGAGCGACGGACTCAACGGCACACGTGTAAAATTAATAACAATTTGCCAAAAACAAAAAAGAAAAAAAAAACAACAGAAATGCGAGTATCTAAAACACAGGCGGCTAAAGAAATGGGGCGTGGCAGTCATCCCAAGTTGGCAACACAATTCAATTTGGGGGACAGGCGGCAACTTTGGTAATTTCAATAAATATTCATCATGCGCCCCGTGCGCCACAGGAGCAGCACCAAAAAACTTGCACGAAAGTACAAAAATCATAAACAACAAGAGTAAAAAAAAAAAAAAAGAAAAAGAAAAATAACATCCCCACAGCAAAAAGTTGACACAAGCTGAAGAGTCCTTGACTGGGCCGTGGTGGGCGGGGCATATTTGCTGCTTGAGTTGAACTCAATTTAATGGAAAAATACGCGCGAACGCAATAAAAGTTTTTTGCTGTTGTTGTTGTTCTCYGGAAAATTTATGAGCTGCTGATAGTATTCAAAATAATTCACTTTTCGAACTTCGACATCGACATCGACTCCAACTCCAATTCCAACTCCAGTTCGAGCTCCAATTTGGACGGCTTTTTGGCTCGTCATTTGCCGACCCATTGAACCAGTTTCAGTTTTGGTTTCTTTGGGGCGCCGGCTTAGGCCTAAGTCGCGCTGCCTCGCAAATGTTAAGGCCATTGCGACCGTGAAATTTTTTGGCGAGCAAATTTTGGCCCGTTGGTTTTTTGGCTATTTAAGCTGCGGCGCCGCTCCAGTTAGGCATCAGTAACCATTCCAGTTGCAGTTAAACAACAACCTCACCCAGCAGTCATGGCATTCCAATACGTCCTCCTCTCCATCTGCGCTGTGCTCGGCGCCGCCAATGCTGGCTACCTGGCTCCAACCAGTTATGTGGCCGCTGCTCCCGTGCTGACCAAGGTGGCGCAGCCACATTTCGATGCCGTTGGCACCACCCAGCATAATGTGGTGCGCTCGTTCGGCGGCACCGTCGCCACCCAGTCCAAGAGCGTCGTGACACCCTACTCCAGCTTCAGCAAGGTGGACTCGCGCACCACCAACAACGTCTACACGCCCAAGACTCTCTACAGTGCACCTGCTGCCGTGGTCACCAAGTCGATCTATGCTGCTGCTCCTGCTCCAGCTGTCACCTACGCTGCTCCTGCTCCCGTGCTGGCCAAGACCGTCTCCTATGCCGCTCCAGCTGTCACCTACTCTGCCCCAGCTCCAGTTCTCGCCAAGACTGTTTCCTACGCTGCTCCAGCTCCCGTTCTGGCCAAGACCTATGCCGCTCCAGTTGCCTCATATGCCGCACCCCTTGCTGCCCCCGCTGCCTATGTGAAGTACTCGCCCGCCATTGGCGTCGCTCACGTCAGCTTCGATGGTTTCGGCTCCCACTGGGGCTACTAGGTTGAGCCCTGGCGCTCAGCTCTTGTTGTAACTGTTGTTGATCACACTAATTAAAATTTAGTTGCGAAAAAAACTATAAGCAATTGTCTTTGTTTATTTTTGTTAATTTTAGCAATTTTAGCTGGTTTATTTGTTACCTGCACTCCACTTGGCTCCATCGTCTGTCTCTGCCCAGTTAATGGCAGTTGGCGACATTATGTCGCGACATTAGCTTGACAACAGCTCAGCAAGACGTTGGCAAAACTTGTTGAGTTGTTTGATAAGCAGCTCTATTTTGACGATATTATATAAGATATTCATATATGTATATGTATATGTATATATGCATATGATATAATGCGCAATCCATAACAATCCAGGTTTATTGTTGCACCTCTGTCCGTTTCTCTCTCTCACTGTTCCATCTCTCATATCCGCATTTCATTTCCTTCTGTACCGCTCTCTATCATTGGCTCTGCTCCGTCTAACTTTGTTCCATTCTTCCATATACACTCTCATACTCCCTCCCACAATGTAACTGCTTCTGTATCTATCTCAGCCGCTCTATGTCTCTCGATCTTTCTTTATTATTTCTTTCTTTTTTGCTTCCTCGTCGCTGTCTTATTCCTCTTTCTCTCTCCCTCTCTCTCTCCATCTCTCTCCATCTCTCTCTATCTCTCTCTTTGAATCCATACGTTTATTTTTCTCCCTTTCTCTACCATCTATGATTCTGGTCACATACTTCATTTACTAGTTTTGTCCCTCTCTCCAGCTACAGTCTCCCCTCTTCTCTCTCTTTCTATGATTCTGGTCACATACTTCATTTACTAGTTTTGTCCCTCTCTCCAGTTACAGTCTCCCCTCTTCTCTCTCTTTCTCTATCCTTCCCTCTCATACTCACTCTTTGACTCTTTCCTTATATCTCGTTCTTATGCTCTCTCTCACTCTGTGCCGCTTTTTCTTTATCTTGTACTATACATCTTTCTCTCTGTCTATCATCTCCCTGTCTCTCTCTCTATCTCTCTCTATCTTATCGTTCTCTCATTCCTCTCTCGCTCTCCCTCTCTCTCTCTCTCTCTCTCTCTCTCTCTCTATTTCTATGTACCACTCACTCTTTCTCTCCTCCATTTCTCTCTATCTGAATAACCCATTTCTCTAGTTGATACCTGCACCCCTTAAGCGCTGCCCTTCACATTAGTTCAACATTTAATGGGGCGTATGTGTGCCATAATTTTATGCCTCACGCCCAGGCTCATCCCCATGTAGCGCTGCCCACTCCATATACATATTTATGCACATATTTATCTTCATTCTTTTTTCACAGGGACGCAAAATATTTAGTGCAAAACTTTTTGTTTGTCTTTGCGCTTTGGCGGCAGCGGAGGCGAGGTGACGCGGCGGGAAGCGCACAAAAAATTGTTGGCCAAAGTTTAATGAGCCACATGACCCCTTTTGGTTTTTCAGTTAGCCCCGAGTTGTGCTCGCCTTTGCAGCCATAAACTTTGCAATGGGACCCATCGCCAGCTCGGCAGCTCAGCAGCTTGACCAAAGTGTTGTTATTGTTATTGTTATGGTTATGGAGGTCTGTGGCGGAAAAGTTTTGCCAAATTGTCGAGCAGCTGGAAAAAAAAGAATTACAGAAAAAGTAGTATTAACTGCTTGGGCCGCAGCAAACTATTTAGCCATAAAGTTAGACGTACTGCTGGGCATGTTTTATGCATTTGGACGGGCAAGAAAATTGTTTTTCATTTAATGTTGACAACAATAAAATGTATATGCACACAGACACACAGACAGACAGACAGCTGAAATATGTAAAAACTCTCGAACATCCTGGTCCAAGTCATCCGATTGTCCTTGAATATGTGCTCAGTCGCCTGGCTGCATTTCGCTTTTGTATATTGTTTCCGAGTATTCAGCTGGTTAGCTGTCCGAGCTGTTGTTTGGGTATTTGCAATAGTTTTCAATTCGCCTTTGTTGATTTCTTTATTGGCTCATGCATATGCAGAGCGAGCAGAGCTCGGATACACGGACACTCGGACAATGGCTAACAAGGATTCAGGCAGCCAGCCAAGCAGCTAGCCAGGCAGACACTCGAGTGTTTATCGTTATTGATTGCAGCCGGTGAAATATGAGAAGTGTAAGTCCCTGCCAATATCAATTCCCATTGAAATTCCCATCCAATTCCCTATGTCAATGCCATCCAATTTGTCTTCCAAATGCAAATTCAATTTGCCACTAGAGAAAGATGCAGTCCGCACGCAATTCTTGACAGCTGCGTTTGGGCGCCTTGATTCGCCTCAGATAGCAATAGAAAACGGTCATCATCACGATGAGCACTAACTGTAATCGATATACACGATAGGCACATTAATCGCTCCAAATGCTTACACGCTCAGGCTAACCAGTAAAATCGGAGTGATTAGCTCAAGGTGAATGAATCGCTCGCCTTTTCCATTCGCATGGAGACAGCCCGTGGAATGCAGAGTATGGGTCGTTCGGCTTTCAGCGGTGAAGCAGCTGCGCGGTAATTCCCCATATGCGAGCAGATAATCATCGGGGCCCAGGGCGCCGCAGCACTTGTACTATGGCAGGGAACTCCAAGTGGGAAAGCGAAATTGAGTTGAGGAGAGCAACTCACCTTTATCTCATAGCTAGTGAGGCTCTCGCCTTTAGCCCATTTTGCGTGGACTTCGTGGACGAGCGGATAGGTCTGTGTCAGCACCATGTTGATCATTAGCTGCAGCCAGCTACAGGCCAGCAGACCTGTCAAGTACTGCAGAAGGATATCATATAATATCGGGGATAACAATAGAATATCGAATACTTCACGACTTACAGTGCGCAATGTCTTCAAGTTCTGAAAGAGCAGCAAGATAAATCCCAATATTAAAACGATAGACACTAGCAGAGACCCCGCAAGCATAACAGCTTCATATTTCACAAAATCACAGTTTGGAGTACCCGAATAGTGGTAGACAATCACCGAGCAGTGGTGGACATCGATGATGGCTGAGACCTTTCAGTGAAGTATATCAACATGTATCAATAGAGATGTACACCTGCCGTTCATTAACTAACCCAGCATGCGATAATGAAGGATAGGATAAGCCAGCGAAATCCAATCAATGACCAGTTCCTCCCAGGGGCATTGACTGGCCGACCAATTCTCAGACTCTCAGACGCCGATTTATTTACTGCCAGCTGAAACGGAATGGAAACTAATTTTTTGATTATGAAATTAACTACAATAGCATGAGTTCTATGAAGATTTGGTTGAATAGACATTGAATATTTCTATCATCTAATTATGAGCTCGTTTTAAATGCCAACTTTAATCTTGGCAAGATGTTCCACTTTAGACTTGTACCACTATAGACTGAATTTTAGACTAGTATACAATGAAGCTGAATGCAAGAGAATTTATCTGGAGAAAACATCAGTGGAAATCAAAAGACCTATGGCATAAGTATGGCATGGCTAAGCTACAGTTGATATTAGTATATCATAGTATATTGTATAAATAGTAGTAATGGTATAAATATCATTTCTGTTAGACAATGTAGCTATACTGCTTTAAAGTTTCTTAAATATAAAGCTCAAACTGGCCTAGGTTCTTGAAGATCTGACATCATTTAACCGAGCTCTGTTGAGACAAAATCGGGAAATTCTTTATCCCACTTCCATATATGTAATTTTATATAAGCGCTTACCATTTTTTTTATGTGTATGAGCTCTGATTTTATCAATGGCAATTAAATATATATGGCAAACAAAAACATATAAATATTTGAGTTTAAATTGCTTTTGAAGTATTTAGAAAATGTAATTGAATATTATCAGGTGTACAAACACCAAACAAAATATCAAATAACTCTGCAGCCTAAACATACATATCAAATGCAAGAGTAACATATGTATAAATATAAAAAAAAAAAAAAATTAAAAACAGACAAGAAATGTCAAGTTGCCACGCTGAAGCGATTTGTGGAATTTGCATAGATTTGCTGCGGTGTTTGCCTCGGTTTCGCTTAGTTCAGTTTTGGTTGGATCCGGTTCGGTTCGGTTCGGTTCATATGAACGTCTCCAGTCTATGGAATTTTTTAATCAAACAGTTGCCATTAATTACTGCAGAATTCTGCCAGCCACATAACAGACATTTTTTCGACGGACTCCAATGAATGAAACCCAAAAGATGGCAAACGGGCAAGAGCCAAGGCGTGGCCAATACTCCTGCTTCACATGTTTTTGCTGCCTTCGCTGTGTGTGTGGCAGTAGCAACAAAAAAGATTGCCACGGGCTAAACCGCAACGCAGCCAGTGCTAGCTCGCAACCAGAAAGTGATAGAGAAAGAGAGAGAGAGAGGGAGGGTGAGAGAGAGAGGGAGAGATAAGCAGAGTGTGGTCTGGGCGCTGTAGACCCATTCAACACAACTAAAAATCAAATTAGGTGCAAACGAGCAGCCGTCAGCGCGCGGTGGCTGCCAGTGGGCGTGGCCGGCGCCCAATGTAATGAATAATTTATAATGCAAAAGCGCTAATATTTTTTTGCTTTTATTTCTGTTGCCTTCGCTCTTAGCTGAAATTAAAATTTTGTGGCTTCGCTTTCATACGCCAGTTAAAGCCAAAGATTCTTGTTGTTCTCAGCTTGCAGCACATGAACTGCAGTTAGTAGGTCGCGGAGAGGGGAGAGGGTGGGCCGAGCTGGGCTGATAAATGTGCGTGTGCTGGTGTCAAGTGCACGCTCGTGAATTCAATTTGATATACAAACTGATTTATCGATGCTGAGCAGAGAGCTGTAGTAGAGCTACGCCCACTCTCCCCCCTCCATCGCACGATTCGACTCGACTCTTTTCGACTTCAAGCACTGCCACACGCCATTCATAAGTCAGTCAGTCAGTGGGCCAACGAGCTGCAGCTTCTTGGCAGGGGGAGGAGGTGGCGGTCGGGTGGGCTCTGTCTGCTCAAGAGACGATAAAAAATTACATACACTTGTAACTGTTGCTGGCTGCAGCCCCTAACAAGGTTAATTTGTTGCGATCGCACAGCGCACTGTCATTTATCTTCGCTGTCAGCGCCAACTCTATGAGGCAGCCAGGCTCTAATTTGAATTTAACAAGCTTCGCATCGAGAGCGTGTCCTCGGTTAGTCACTCAGTAAAAGTCATCCAACCAGCCAGGCAGGCAGGCAGTCTACTAGATGGCAGTCAGTGAGAGTCTATCACAGCGCTTTGAAAATTAAAAATTTATTGCCAGACGAGGTGTCAATCATCGCCTCGCATCGCAATAAAAAGTAATATGTAACGGGAACACTGAATGATGACGAACAGCTGAAGTGCGGCAAGTCGAATTTGAAATGCTCTAACGACAAATGGGGAGAGTGGATGTTAATAGATTTTACGTTATGTTAGAATGTCTTTGAAAAACTGTGTTATCTTTTAATGTACCGACTTTATAGTTTTATTTTTAATTTTTTACATAACTCTTTTTTTACGTTTTTTTACATAAAAAAAATTTTATACAATATTTA